ATGTTAATTACTGTTTTCTTATAAAGTAGAGCAAATAGTTCATAGGATTTACTCAATGAATGTATGAAATCTTTCCTTTTTTAAAGGGCTGGACAAGATGGCCCTCACTTTACACATTATATCTAACAGGATTTTGTGATTCTGTGAGATACATCACATATACCTGGTGGATTTTGAATATGGGTGCTAGCACACAAGAGCAAATTATATAAATAAACAAACAAATAAATAAATGGATGCTGCCCTCAAAATATCTGTATGTATATGTAAATGCTCAGAAAGCTTGTAGAAGTGATTATAAGTTCAATAAAAATATGTGTGCCTGATTGTGTCATGTAATATATGTTGCTATTAAGGAAAATTACAGGAGTGCTTGGATGAGTCAGTTGGTTGGGTGGCCAACTTTTAATTTCTGCTGAGGTCATGATCTCAGGGATTGAGCCTCATATAAGGCACAGAGCTGGGCGTAGAGCCTGCTTAGGATTCTCTCCCTCCCTTTGCACTTCCCCCACTTCGCTCTCACTCTTTCTCTAAAAAAAAAAAAAAAGAAGAAGAAGAAGAAGAAAGAAAAGGAAAACTTACATGCCACTTAATATATATTATATATATTAATATAACATATATATATATATATATATATATTTCTGAGTTTCTAAGTTTCTACCCCTACCAAGGAGTGGGAGATCAATCATATATATTTATAAGAAAGATGAAAAAATGTAAAATACTCTTGTACAACTGCAAATGAGAAGCAGGCAGAAGACAAAAGAAAGTTTGATTCTCAGCCTTGAGAAATAAACAGGACATACAAAGGTTCAGTAATATATGTTAATAATATCTTATACTTTTGCAGCTATAGTTTTGCTTAAAATAGAATAATATTTGAAAACATTCAGAAATACTACATTTTAATTATTTTTTGTCATGCTCACTCACATTAGGTAAAACAGCTTGTTTTCATGTCATTTTCCTATATAGGCCTTGTGCTAATTAATCCGGCCATACAAAGCCATAAAACGTACACTAAAAAGACATAAAAAATAATTGACCTCCCTAAGGCAATGTTCATGGCTTTTCCTGGTAGGATACGGATTCATTAAAGTTCTTGCCATTACTTGTATTCATTAAAGGATGGAACAATCTATTTTGTCATCAACAGACGAAACTTTCTAACTTCTCACTAGGTCCATAACATATTAATTAGTCTGACCCTGACTTTCCTTGAGGCTTCTCAAAGAAGAAAGTGGGCAGATCCACGTGGAGGGAAATTAAGTGGGCTTGGAACTAGCTCCTGAAATGGCCCTGGTAACTATAGATTCAGAATATAAGAGAGTTCAAGTGAATATGAATAATAAGTAGCTGCTGAACTGCTAGAGGTCCCAGTAAATAACAGCAATTCTGGTGACTGTTTGTTAGCAGATGTTTTAAACTTTTTGAGTAATAACAAAAACTATTACATTAGTGACAATATTTATAAAGGTTCACAGTGTAAGATATAATGTAAAATATAATGTAAAAATATGCTTGTAATAAACATAACTGACATAGCCTTAATATATTATTGTCCTTATTACATGAAGAATAATGACTACAAAAAGGAAAACACCAAAGAGCAATAGAAGGACTTCAAGGAAGAAACACAAATTGCTAATAAATAAAATTATGCTTATATGTCCAAGAAATAATATATATTATATATATAACATATAATTATTGAAAGTCACACGTACCATCTTTTTTCCCTGTTTGTTAAAAATTGACAAACATTAGGGAAAAAAACAATCAGAAATTCAGTGCTGGAAAGCTGCCATGGAATTCTCAGCCTCACACACTGCTAAATAGGATAGAAGGCTGTCTGGAAAGCAGGCACCAGGAGCCCTTAGAAGTATATCCCCTGGGGATCTCTGGGTGGCTCAGCGGTTTAGTGCCTGCCTTGGGCCCAGGGCATGATCCTGGAGTCCCGGGATCGAGTCCCATATTGGGCTCCCGGCATGGAGCCTGCTTCTCCTTCCTCCTGTGTCTTTGCCTCTCTCTCTCTCTCTCTCTCTCTTAAATAAATAAATAGATAAATAAATAAATAAATCTTTAAAAAAAAAAGTATATCCCCTATGACCAAGTAGTCTACTTCAAGAATCTATCCTAAGTGAAATATTAAAATTTGGGGCCCCATATTTGGGCTGTGGTCTTCTTTTTAAGCAAAGAATTGTTAGATTTATAATAAAATTATTGGGGATCCCTGGGTGGCGCAGCGGTTTGGCGCCTGCCTTTGGCCCAGGGCGCGATCCTGGAGACCCGGGATCGAATCCCACGTCGGGCTCCCGGTGCATGGAGCCTGCTTCTCCCTCTGCCTGTGTCTCTGCCTCTCTCTCTCTCTCTCTCTCTGTGTGACTATCATAAATAAATAAAAATTAAAAAAAAATTTATAATAAAATTATTGCATCATTTAGTTTTTAATGAATAAGGAAGACAATACAAATCTTATATAGTATGATATATACATATATACACATACAAACATATATTTATATATATAAAATCATCATGTACACACATATATACATACCAATCTATATGTATGATTATGTGCACATATTATGTGTGTGTCATACCTGAACCTATACAAAAATTTTAAAGGAGTATTTACAGTAGCTGTATCAAGGAGGCAAGATATTTTAAAGGGGTATTTACAGTAGCTCTATCAGTTAATTTATATATATATTTTTATATTTCCGGTATAATTAGCACACAGTGTTATATTGCTTTTAGTTGTACAACATATATAGTGATCCAACAATTCTATATATTACTCAGTGCTCATCATAAGTGTACTGTTAGTCCCCTTCATCTGATTCACCTATCACCTCACCTACCTCCCTTCTAGTAACCACTAGTTCTCTATACGTTAGATCATGTTTTTTGGTTTGTCTCTTTTTCTTTGTTTATTTTGTTTCTTAAATTTGATTTATGAGTGAAATTATATAGTATTTGTCTCTGCCTGCTTTATTTCATTTAGCATTATATCAGCTATATCCATTATGTTATTGCAAACTGCCAGATTTCAATTTTTATGGCTTAGTAATATTCCATTATATCTGTCTGTTTATGTATCTATCACCTATCTATCTGTATCTTTATCCATTCATCTATTGGTGAACACTTTTGGGTTGCTTCCACACTTTGGATATTGTAAATAATGCTACAGTAAACATAGGGGTGCATATATCTTTTCAAATTAGTGTTTTCATAATCTTTGGGTAAATACCCAATAGTGGAATTACTGGATCATCTGGTAATTATGTTTTAATTCTTTTGATGAACTTCCCAATCTGTTTCCACAGTGGCTGCACCAGTTTATATTCCCCCTAATGGCACACGAGGGTTCCTTCTCCTCCATTCTTCATCAACACTTGTTGTTCCTTTGTTTTTGATTTTAGCCATTCTGACAGGTATGAAGTGATATATCATTGTGGTTTTGATTTGCATTTCCCTAATAATAATAGATGTTGAGCACAGGTTCTCACAGGTGTCCCTGTATCTAGGCTGGGGTGGGGCAGGGGAGGGAAATGGTACCTGCCACCTCCTTTGTTCTTGCAGAAGTCTCCCAAAGATCCCTGTCCCTCTGGCACAGGCCCCGAGATTAGCAAACAAATCTCTTTCCCATACATTCCAGACATCTTTTGAACTGATGTTTCTGTGCTGTATCTCAGCGTGGCTGTTTATTGTACCATCATCCTCTGGTTCTCCCCAAACCAAGCCTGCCAATTTTTAAAGTTCTGGGTATTAAACATCACTGATTGTAAGAACATGAGAGGTTAAACACCTCTGGTTTTTGAAGCCAAATATTATGGGGATTTGTCTCTCCTGTACATGAGGTGCCTGGTGTGGGATCTGCCTTTCTCTCCTCTCCATGCCTGTGGCATAACTAATTCCAATGGACAGTCCTATGGGTTAGTTTGGCTCTCAACCATATCTCTACTCTTCTTACCCTCTTTGATGTGGCCTTTTCACTACATTTAGCTATAGAGAATCTGACCTGTTAGTCTTTGGGTTGTTTTCCTGGTTATTTACACTGATATGGATTTTATCTAGTTGTATTCATAAGAGGAGGTGAGACTAGGATCCTCCTGCTTTGCCTCTACTAGTTTTTGTTTTTGTTTTTTAAAACTCACTTCCTTCCTTCATCCCACCATTTCCTCCATCATCCATCGGCTGAACACACAAGGATGGCCCACCACCCAGTACATACACACACACACACACACACACACACACACACAAGCAGCCAGTACAACACCTGCACACCCACCTTAACCGACAGGAACCTAAAAGGAAGGCCAGATGCAAAGTCATCAGAAAGAGACAGAGAGAGGGAGGTAGAAGAGACAGAGGGCAGCATACTCCGGGCTTAGGTCTTTACAGCAGGGGCCTTGAACCTGCCATGGCCTTTGGTTGGGTTGGTGGTGGGGAGTAGTTAAGGCAAATAGCTGAAGATACTTCAATTGGTGGTACTCCCAGTGACTCACTGTTTCCTTATTGCCACATGTTTCCAGTAAAAGCCATTTTCCTCTATCAGGATCTGCTTGGGCAGCATGTGAGGTCATCACAAATTATCTTTTATCCCTTTAAAATATCAGCAGATTTTTTTGGAGTTTCTAAAAAGCTAAGAAAGCCACACCATCTCTCAGTTTTGGCAGAGAAACCTTTTTTTTTTTCTTTTCTTTTCTTTTTCTTTTCTTTTCTTTTCTTTTCTTTTCTTTTCTTTCTTTTCTTTCTTTCTTTTCTCTTTCTTTTCTTCTTTCTTTTCTTTTCTTTTTTTCTTTTCTTTTCTTTCTTTTTAAAGATTTTATTCATTTATTCATGAAAGACACAGAAAGAGAGGCAGAGACATAGGCAGAGGGAGAAGCAGACTCCCCGATGGGAGCCCAATATAGGACTCGGTCTCAAGACTCTGGGATCACAACTGAACCGAAGGCAGCTCAACCACTGAGCCACCCAGGTACCCTGAGAAACCCATTTCTTTCAAGATGTCTATCTTCGCTTTTCCCCCCTTGCTCTTCCATAGTTCTTGGAAGGTTAAAGCTCAGATTGGGCCGCTGCAAAATGTCCACAGTCTCTGCTGAGGTGCTCTGGAATTTTTCTGCAGTCCTAACTTCTGCAGGACACTTGAGTTCCACTGATGACAGCCCGGCCATGGTGAGGTGGCAGACCCATGGCGCAGAGCACTGAGTGCCAGGCACTGAGCACCCAAGCACCTAGTTCGGAGTACAGTTGCTGTGGTTTGCCTCTTTTTCTTTATGTTTTTTTTCCCAAAATTTCCAAATAGAGCAAGTTCTTCAATATGCTGTAAAACATATTTTTAATATGCTGATAAGATGAGAATTTCAATTCTAACAATTTTGAAAGAACAGAAGTTAAAAAAAGTTGTTAGTCTTTCAAAACTGATATTATGAAACTCAAATGCTGGGTGTGTTTTCATGTGTTAGCTGGAACACCCTCCTCTCAGTAACACTTGCCCACTCTGGTGCACCAAAGGAACCTGTGGTCATAGTATGATTTTAAATTTTCACTCCTTACTCCAAAGGATTTAACATAATTTCCTCAGCCCCCAAAATGTGTAGTTACAGAATCTATCATTTTTACTTTAGATTTACAATTTGTTATCTGGCTTCCCAGTTCATAGTAGCAAAATAAATTGGAAATGTATGTGTATATACATTGGGTGGGGTGAGTGGAGGATGTGAAGAGAGTGCTGAGTAACAAAAGAAGCTATCTTGATAGTTTTATAAAGAAAGAGGATTTTAAAAACCACAATCCTTCTTTTTCTTCCATTTCAAAAATTCAATCAATGCAACTCCGTTCTTGTTTAAATAGTAATATCACATATCTCAGTAATCTCTAAGTATGCTGCAATAATGAAAGTTTTTATTGCTATATCTGTGTCACCAACAAATATTCACTTTTCTTTCCCTACAATTCATTTATTCAGTTAGAAAACTGAATTACTTATGTTATAAGCATTTCTATCTAGATAAGCTTATTGTGTGCCTTTAACAAACTCTGAAGTATAATTTATTTTCTAGAACTCCCTATAGGATCAGGCTGAGTCTGGGACCTCCTCTGAAAGTACGGCTTCACTTCTTTCCCTAACCTGACCTGCTTCCCCTACTCTCCTGTATTTCTATTGTGAGTGTACTGCCTTAATAAAACACTTGTCCATAAATTGTCATCTCAGGGTTGGTCCTGAAAAACCCAAGGCAAAACGCTTCCAGAATGGAAAAGGTGACACAGGATGCCAGTTTTTAATAGGGGTACAGCTTACTGCTCTACTTAAACGGGAAACCAGCATCTTGAATGCAATTATCTGTCAGACCTGAAGGACTATTTTAACACAAGAATTTATCAATAACACAAACAAAAAATGATATAAGTAAAAGGAATTAAGCACACGTTATACAGTGAACTTTGTGAAGAATAAACAAGCTAAGCATGGTTGCTTGTTCCAACTCTCTCTCCTGCGTCCCTTGTTATCTACCTCTGCCTTTTTCTCTGGCCCAGGAAGTTGACCTGCATTTTTTCATCATTACAGATATTTTCATCATATAGATAATTCTTCCCATTATAGATAATGGGAAGCCTCGTTAGAAGATCATAGGGAGCAAGGTGATGGCTTTAGAGTATTCATTCCATTGGCTACCTTCTTATGAAGTTTGTTTAGGCTTATAACTTCGTTCTTTTTTCTTTAAAATTATATTTATTTTATTTTTTATTTATTCACGACAGACAGAGAGAGAGGCAGAGACACAGGCAGAGGGAGAGGGAGAGAAGCAGGCTTCATGCAAGGAGCCTGACGTGGGACTCCATCCCAGGTCTCCAGGATCACACCCCAGGCTGAAGGCAGCACCAAACCACTGGGCCACCGGGGCTGCCCTTCTACCTTCATTCTTGACCAAAATCACATTGATCTCAAGAATGCTAATCCTATCCAAGCTCTGTTCTTCTGACTCCCATGATGTATTTCTGTTGGCTACTGTATCTGACTTCTGATAGAATTTGCCCCCCCCCTTTTTTTACCCTTTGGGCTTAGGGATGGTAATAGCTTGCTACTATCAGCCCTGAGTTATTGCAGTATCCTGTGGTTTCCCTAAAACTATGTTTTTGTAAACATTAAAATTGTAGTATTACTCTCATTCTCCCATTTCGAGTATGCCATGCTTTTCCTGTTAATAGAAGTATGCGCCTAAATTTACAAATACCTATGTTTGTCATTTTTTAATTATCTTCTCTTATTTCTATATAAGTGGCCCCAAATCCTATGTAAATATAACTTCCTTTATCATTTTAAATTTTATATATATATATATATATATATATATCCAATCTCTATGTTTTTTCTTATACAATTTTAAACAATCTCATACAGATTTAAACATGTAACTGCAATTTCTTCTGGTGTGAAGACTGTTTAATCTAATTATGGTCATGTCTTTTTATTCATACATCAAGAGTCAAGTTTTACTAAATTATATTTCTGGAGCTATAACTAACACTGTTCCTTCTAGATACTGTTTAATTTGAATAATATATTATATTATTATATATTATATATTAATAATATATTAATATATTAATAATAATTATTATTATAATAATCTTCAAGGATATGTACTCCCCTTTAGTGGTCTCTGTACAGTTGTTATGGTTGCCATTTTGTACTGGGAATTACTTCTACCTATACTGGATCTCTAGAGCTATATGAACTCTGATTAGAAAATTTCCTTACCTTTGCCCCAGAAATAGAAAAAAAGTTGTATTTTTTATGATATATAAAGATGCTCAATTAGTATAAAATTTTTAAAAAATCTTCCAAAAGGGCAAAAATCCCTGAAATAACAAGTAACTAGATATGGCTACTTTAAACATTTGAAGCATTCCTCATGTGAAGGTTAAAGACACATGTTCATTGATCCATAAGGTCTTTTCAGGCAATCACAAATTCAATTTATATCTTTATTTTTTGTTTTAGAGTTCCATGATACATAATAAAAATTATATATTGCATTAACTCATATCTAATTACGAACCAAAACTATTACTTAATTTGATTAATATATTCAAAATCTCATTATCTGGGAAAAATTTTGACCTAGTTAATCAGCATATATTCATCAAACACCTAATATATATAAAGCACTAGATTTAAAGTAGTAAAAGAGAAAAATGTTTACTCCACCTTAAAAGGAATTTTACGAAGTCCTGAATTTATTCATTCAGTCTTCAAATATGTATTTTTTACAGGCACTAGGAGACAAAGCAGTTCTATGCAGCTTCTTTATCCATTATGATTTCAACACATTATTTTTTTGAGTCTACTTTATTTTATCTTTATTAGCCTGATAAAACATTTCTTGGGCAAGGTTTACTATATTTTCCTTTGTGCCAGGAGTCCTTGTCATAGTTCCTGTCCCATACATAGTATTTGGTTCATTATCTTATTTCTTTTTTTTTTTTATGATAGTCACAGAGAGAGAGAGAGGAGAGAGAGAGGCAGAGACACAGGCAGAGGGAGAAGCAGGCTCCATGCACCAGGAGCCCGACGTGGGATTCGATCCCGGGTCTCCAGGATCGCGCCCTGGGCCAAAGGCAGGCGCCAAACCGCTGCGCCACCCAGGGATCCCCTATTATCTTATTTCTCAATGCTCTAGTAATTCTAATCTATCTCAGGGGAATAATTGCACTACAGGTCTTTCTTCTTCAAGCCAGAAAGGGAAAGAACTGAAAATACATTTCTTAAGCTAACACAGAAAAAAGAAAGAAAGAAAAAGAAAAGAAAGAAAGAAAGAAAGAAAGAAGAAAGAAAGAAAGAAAGAAAGAAAGAAAGAAAGAGAAAAGATAATCCTAAAAATTCCTTGAAGTTTTACACTTTCTAGAGTCTTATAAAGAAAAGAAGATTTAAAAAGTAATCAATGGGGATCCCTGGGTGGCGCAGCGGTTTGGCGCCTGCCTTTGGCCCAGGGCGCGATCCTGGAGACCCGGGATCGAATCCCATGTCGGGCTCCCGGTGCATGGAGCCTGCTTCTCCCTCTGCCTGTGTCTCTGCCTCTCTCTCTCTCATTCTGTGTGACTATCATAAATAAATAAAAATTAAAAAAATAAAAAAATAAAACATTTAAAAAGTAATCAATGCCTTTTGTATTCTAACTTCTGTTTTTTGAAAAGTAGTTAATAAATAAATAAACAAATAAAAGAATATATAGTTTTGAATCTTAATACTTTTGCGTATACTTACTTTCTGGAACAAAGATACTGAAGTTTGAGTAAGTCTTTACCTTTGGTTTAAGCCACGTTATAAACATACCTCATGTAAAACCTCTTAAATTATTTACTTAGTCATTTATCAATTCATTTATTTTTTTAGTATTTATATTCCTTAACTTCATTTTCCTTCCTCCACAGAATAATTACATATAACACTTATCATTAAAGAGATTGTGAGCTATAATGAAAAAAGAATTTATAGCACATTTTCTAGGGAATAAATTAATAAAATAATTCAAGGTTTATGATTCTAATAGATGAACTTCTTAAATAATTACTAAATAGTAGTTTGAATATTGAGACCTTTAGTTTTTATGGAAAACAATGTTATGGGATGAACAGAGAAAACAATAGAGATTTTAAGAAAAATAGGAGATTTAAGATGAATTATTAAAAGTAGACAAAGTTTAGTAAGGTGTGAATTATAGGAAGATAGACTAGAAAATGTGAGACAGTAAAATAGTCGCATAATTATACGGACATTCTAAAATACTGAGCTGTGAGATAAGTTGAAACAACTAACTTAAAACAAACTAAACAAATATCAAATAACTTCTGATATTGGCAAAATAAATGGAATAAAATGTACACACTGAAACATTCCTCTAAATTATTTAGGTCTTTGTCATTTGATTTGATTATTTTGAGGCAAGTTGAGCAAAATTTTTCTGAGTATATACTAGTAATAACTATTTGAATCCTCAATCTGGGTGCAAAATTGAGTGGTTTATCCTTAAGAGATTACCACTTAAATGACACAAGTTAGCCTAGCCTATGGTTACATAATGTACACTCTTAAACATATCTATATTCACTTTATGTTTATACACATAATTTTACATTTAACAGGATATGTTCACTCTGAATGAGGCACCCC